ATACTTATTAGTCTGGATCATTTATTTACTAAATTTACAGACTTTTTAACTATCGCAGTATTATTAACAAAATCTTAGTAATCTATCTATATATTGCATTCGCCTCTACACGCACTTCTATTATATAAGCTTAATATTCTACCATAACTATCCTACTATCTAATACATATATCCTATTATGTTCTATTATAATTTAAATGACTTAAACAACTATATAAAATAAAAATAATATAAAGTTAGTTACCCGTACTAATATAGATCTATTATTTTTTAAAAAGTTTTATGCAATAAAATAACGTTTGCACTCACCTTACCTTTTCTAATTGTTACTTTCATTACTTTCGTGTATTTTAGTTTATTTTTTTATACTCAGAAGAATGGAATTTTGCAAACTTAGCTCATATAATATACTTTTTTACATATAACTTTATTGCATAAATTGAATATGAAAGCTGTAGGATTCAAAAGGATTAAATCAATATTCTTAAAATACAGCACAAAGCTTCAAGTTTAAAGATGAGATAATCTACCTGAGCTTTCGAGAAAAGTATTGTAACACATAAAAAAAATTTCTGATCAATTGAATTGTTTGTGTAATGATCTGCAAACTTGGGGCATACTCAGGACATTCCTACCTCGAGATTACTCCACATAGAGCAAACTGAGTTCATTCCAGATCACTCTATATATAGAGTAACTCAGGTTATAAGAAATAACTTTGCTCTGGGTTATTATATAATTTTTAAAATCTTAACTCACTCCAACTTTAGACTGGAGTATAACCTGAGTTGCTCCAGAGTATGTTGCTCCATTAACAACCCTAATTCTGATAATTAAGTATATAGAGCAAGACCTTTGTGAATTTAATATTCCTTATACAAAAAAAGATGTCGAAGATATTTACCAATATTTAAGAGTTTTAAATGAATTATGTGTAATAATTATTGTTGATTTGTTATTAAAAATTATTATATTGATTATTATATTAATAATTCGAATTGTCATTTACTATTTGAAAATAGAAACGTGTCAATAGTATCTCTAATTTGTTGAAGAATTTATAAATATTTAAGGCAAAAGGCAAGAAATAATCCATATATAATACAAGCTACAGAATTTGCCAAAATATTGTTAGATGGATGTGCAATCACAAATCCTACTCCTTCAAATAGCCTGAAAGATCCCTCATCTGATTCAAGTAGCACATCTTTAGAAGAACAAATAGAAGAAATTTTATCTTCATTCATTAAAGAAAACATTGAAGAGCTATCAGGTTCAGAGAATAATTGGAACACGTCTAAAAACTCTGACTACAAACTAGAATAATAGTTTATAATTTTCTTAGTATCAGATACAAATAGCACTAATATTTACTTGCAATGAATTAATTCTTTCATGAAAATATAATTGTATTTGCAAAAGCATTTATATTTACTCGCAAACAAATTAATTTATTTATGGAAATATGATTGACTTAGTATCTAATACAAATAATGCAATGAATTAATTTGTTCATTGAAATGTAATTGGACTTGCAAAAGTATTTATATTTACATGCAAATGAATTAAATTATAAAGTCTATGGATAATTTATACGAATTTGAAAAGTAAATCTATATTTTAAAGTTTTCAATATTTGCTTTAGACAAGTATTGATCATTAATTCTTAAAGGATGAATAATTCTGTTATACAGTATATTAGTTACTTGAAGAGATTATTATTCACTCTATATAAAGTTATCTCAACACTGAAGATGAAAATCAAAGACTAGACGAAATCTGTAAATATTTGAATAGAGGATTAGGTGATGATAATAAACTAGATTTAGATTCATATTTTCCTAGTTAAGAATAGAAACATATCTAATAGTAAATCCAAAGCTAATAAATTACTATGTAAATATCTAAAATGTTTATTACTTTAATAAAAGAGTGCCAACTGCGTCTCTAGTTGCAAAAGCAACAGAGAGAGATATTAAAAAAAAAACAGAAACACAAAATATAGGATTATAAGTTTTGTTAAATTGTTAATTCAATTGTCAATTCATCAAAACAACTAATAGACTATTATTAATTTGGACAAGAAAATTTTAAATTTTTGACAGAGATTATATTATTGAACAAATTAAATTATTAATAAAAAAAATTATTTTATATAAAGACAAAATTTGTTCTATTTGCTAACATTGCTTAAAATAGGCAAAATTTAGAGATATGAACTAAATATTGAACAGATAATATAAAAATCAGGTTACTTTAAACTAATAGATATCTATAGATTTAAAGTAATCCGTAGATTATTTATATTATTTATAATTATAATAGTTTAACATTAAAAATACTTTAGTTTAAATCTGTGAGCATGAATCTTACTTTTAATAAACATTATAATTTTAAGTTACAGTTTTGTGATGATACAAATGAAGTTGTAAAAGTATTTAGCAAAATAGTGTATAGTATCTGATTTAAACCTGATGAATTATTGCTATCACTTGAAAATATGATTTGAACTGAGAAAATATTCTTAGTCGAGTAACCAAACCGAAATATTTAATTACAACTGATTAAAATTACTTCACACTTTATCTTCAGACCTTAAAATTTTATGTTTATTCATTTTCTTTTCGAAGTTCTCAGACCTATATAGTATTTTTGCCATAGTGTTTCAAAACGTCATGTACTGAAATTTTTTTGACTGCCTATATTATTGGCTACCAATATATTATAGACTACTGATATTATCTTCTATACTATTAAAATTTATATTTATCTGTCTGCTTTTTGAAATATATTTAGCTAATTTATAGTACCCGATTACTATAATTTTAATGCACAAAAACAGTTACAAATAAATATTGTTTATCCTTAGCAATAGATTAGTGAGCTTTTTAGATATACAGTTGTGTTTTTTTTGATAACACTATTCTTTCTTGTTTTTTTTTCAAGTTTTTAACATATTCTTGATAACTTATATAACTTATATATAATATATAAAAAACTTACATGAATAATATATTTTTATATATACTACACGCTTAGTATACTTTTTTGATATCTATTTTGATAGCTATTTAGCTTTCTATTACTAAGGAGTACACTTCTCTAAGAATATATGACGCAGTTGCAGAGTGAAGCAGAGTATAGTTATTATATTTGATTTCTATTTAGTTTTTTGTACTGGAGGAGCATAGCGACTCTGAATGCGAAGCATAGTATAGCATTAATTATCTATTTAATTTACAATTAGTTTCTTAACACTAAGGAGTATACACCTTAGGTGTGAGCGACGCAGTTGCAGAGTGAAGCAGAGCATAGTAATCTTTTATTTAAACAAAAGATCTGGTATATTAATAAAAAATACTGAAAAAACATATTACT